TTTCCGCAATTGGGGCAATAATTTATTGGGCTCAATTTATTTGTAAAATATATTAACAATCGGCTTTTGTCACTCTGCGTATCGCTTACTCGAGGTCAAGTTCAAGCCGTCAGCATTTCGCCTTTACTTTTCTTTATTTTGTATTTTTTGCGTAAACTATATCCATCCATCCATCTTTATACCGTTTACTCGGGAATATGCATATGCTTTTTTGCGAGCAGCTGAAGGCACTTGCCCACGCCGCTTTATGGGTCTGGGGTTACGTGTCTGGTGTCAGTAATTGGCATTTAATAGGCTCGAGCAAAATAGAATGGAAAAAAAATCCACTTATGAACGCCTTACGCACTTTTAATTTGTCGACTGAATGGCCGATTGGCTGGAGAGACTGAGACATACATACATATACCATGGGAGTTTGGCCAGTTGTTGAATTGGTTTGGAATTCCTTGAATTTGGTTGCCGTTTAATTAGATTTAAGCCAAGGCAGCAAATGAGTTGACAGTTATTCTTCTTCCTCTTCTTCGCGGATGCTGCGTGCGCCCTATTTGCCACGAAAAACCTTTTCATTTCTTGTGGTCAAACCTTCAGGCCTTTGTGTTCAATGTTTCCGATTTTTAATTAAAATTGCAGTCAATTGGGCTCGAATGCCGCCTGGCTAATTGTTAAGTCGACCCGAAGGTAACCCACTCATAATGGAAACATATTTCGTTCTAAAGACCAATACAAAGCAAAGAATTACGCTGAATGTGACATACTCGCCTTTTATGTTTCTTGGAATTTCTACTGAAGAGCTGTACCTAAATGGCTACAACTTAATACCTAACATTGCATTTGCATCTTAGTATCAACTTCCGAATGCAAAATAAAACTCAAATTCTAGAAGTTACTATAAGCTACTTAAGGTATCTGTAAGATTCAATAGTTTCCAAGTGTATTCAAGGATACATTCATACTACAAATAAGCACACTTAAGGAGATAAGTTGTTTTTTTTTTTCTTATTATTCTTCTTTTTTTAGCTGAAGCTTGGCTGTAAAATTAAATGTTAATTTTTCTTATTTGTATCATATTAATATTTTTAAGTATTTTGACACAAAGACCATATTATTAAGACAATATTTATATTATAAAATATATTATATATAAATAAGTCTTTATTCCTTTTGAAAATTTAATTGTTTTTTTTTTTTTTTAATTATATTCTATTATTATATTATATTATATATATTATTTTGTATATTAAATTATTTATATATTTTTAAGTAAATTATTTATATATTTTTTCTGCACAAAATTGACTAAGGAAAATATTTTTATATTGCTATAAATTTATATTTATTATTGGTAATAATAGTATATATTTTTTATAATTTATATGGATATTTAATAAATTGTCATATTATTATTATTATTATTTTGTTTAATTTTTGTCTTCTATTTTTTAATTTTTAGTATGATTTATAGCTTTTATTTATTTGTATTATTTAAATAAATTTTATTTTATATATATTTTTGCCTGCACATAATTAATTGCTATTTATTTCTAAATATTTGTATATGTAATTTGTAATTAATTTCCTTTTAATAATAAAATAAGCTGTACTTTTTTATATTCAAATTAATTTTGTATGCCATTTATATCTTAATTTTAACTGAATTAATTTAATTTTAATTAAAATTGTCGTCTCAACTTCACTTTCATACAACTTATATAGCTATAAATTTATATTTATACAATTTCTGTTTACTAATTGTTAATTAAAATATTCGGAAAACACTGCATTCCAATATAGTTTATAAATAGTAAATTATTGTGTTATGCATGGACATGGGTGTTTAGTTATTTCGACCTAGTGGATTAAACTTGAGCTGATTTGGCAGCAATATTTATGGTGTGGCTCGGCGTTGCGTTTGGCATAGCCAAAAGTGAAGACACAGACAATGCAACAATTAACAAGTGAATAAACAAAATGCTGGCATGTGGGGCATGGACAAAGCACGAAAATGGAGCAAATGAACATTCCCTAAAAATAAAAAAAAGCCAAAAACAAAACTCAACTGAAACTGAAACTCAAACTGAAACTGAAACTGAAAATCATGCAGTAAATGAAGCAAATGCTGCTGACATACAAAACGAGAAGCAAAGTACAGGTAAAAACGAGCCAAAGCTGTTGACAGACGAACAAATCGGCAAAACTGAAGCTGAGCTAGGGCTGTGCTCGGCTGTGCTGGGCTGGGGGCAGTCGAGTTCCTCAAGTGCAAAAATACACATAGTACACAGATGGAATGTGATGTAAGCCAGGCCAAGCGCTGATTGAGGGATGCAGAGCGAGCTGCTGGCATTGTTGACCGTTAATGATCGGCTTAATTGAATAATGGTCAATAGGCCTACAAGGAAGCGCGCCGGCAGCGCTGAACTTGAAAAAGAGCGACCAAAGCGCACAACAAAAGCCGCCAGCAGACAAAAAATAGCAAAACAAAAAAAAACAAGAAAACAATCAACGAAAAATCAAAACCAGTTTGCAGAGCAATTGTCACACAATTGTCAACGCGTATCTATGAGATACTTTTGTATCTTGCTCTTGTACTTGTTACCGGTTTGGGCCCTATCTGTGTGTGTGTGTGTGTGCGTGGGTGCCGCAACGGACAGTGTCTGTGGGCATGGCCATGCTAATTCTAGGCACCCGCCCGCTCCATATAAAGTGACGAGCGCACAGCCCCAACCACATCATTTAGCAACTGTCGCTCACAGCGCCAAGTGCCGACAGCCGTCTAGGACCACAGATTCGAACCGGATCGCGGAATATCCCCTAACTCGAACACGCGCGTGTGTCTTTGTGTGTGTGTGTGTGTGTGTGCATAGAAAATCCAAGTCTCAACTCAACGAAATGGCAAGCAAAGTAAGTTTCCCAATAAATATCGCTAAGGATATATGTTATACCTATACATATA